AAATGTAATGTCAATTGACATCTTCAGATGCCTTGATACTGATACCTGTCCTTCTCTATATCCGTTTCTCAAACACATCTCTTTACTCTTGCTCTCACTTTCTGTAGCCCCTTGTGTACTATTGTTATTCCCACCTTGCTTGAGGTGATAAGCTTAAAAACAAAATGTAGAAGTAGAAAATAAAAAAAACACTTTGAATACCTCAGTGTATGTATCATGAATTTAATTTATAAAAGAAAAAAACTGAACACAAAATAAGCTGTTCTGGTGGCAGTTTCATTCAACGAGGCAAATTGTAAAACCAAAACATTAACCTAAAAATTTGAGGTGTATTCTTAAATTGCTTTGTCAGATCAAAGTCACTTTCTGACAGATGTGATGTGGCTTCCCTCTGTCTTTTCTAAAAATATTTTCATGGCAACTGCTCTGACGAGCTACTTTGATTGGCACCCCAATTGCATGAATTTAAGCATGCTGCTAGGTTGGTATTTCTATCCCACCCTTTCACTATCGAAACAGTTAAATGTAACCACCTCTTCTACTCCAACAGCTTCTTCTCTCGCACTTCCTGACAGGGATTACTTGATGCCATGATAACTATAATCTTCAAATACTCAAATGTAATGCCAATCGACATCTTCTGATGCCTTGATCCTGATCCCTCTCCTTTTCTATATCCTTTCCTCAAACACCCCTCTTTACTCTTGCTCTCACTCTCTGTAACCCCTTGCGTGCTAGTGGCACTCCTGCCTTGCTCGGGGTGAAATGCTTAAATAATATAGATAGGTAGATATGAGTAGACTGAGATAGAATCTTCAAATATTCAAATGTAATGTAAATCGACATCTTCTGATGCCTTGATCCTGATCCCTGTCCTTTTCTATATCCTTTCCTCAAACACCCCCTCTTTACTCTTGCTCTCACTCTCTGTAAACTCTTGCGTGCTAGTGGCACTCCTGCCTTGCTTGGGGTGAAATGCTTTAAAAATAAAAAAAATAACATACCAACACACTAGCAGATCTTCTAATATTTGGGAAAAATTAAATTTGGACTATAGACTTAGGACATTTTTGTGTTAGTTTTTAAAACATGGAATTGTTTTTCTGAGTCACTTATATTTATTAGTGACTTACTTTCACATAACATTAAAACACTGGTTCTCACACAATCACCAAAGTTAAGCAATATCGAGCCTGGTCAGTACCTAGATGGGTGTATCAGGTTACTTCCTCTTAATTTTCAAAACCACTACAAGGGGAGGTTTTCCGGTCTATAAATACTTGGCGGTAACTTTTCTTGCCACATTTTTCTCATTTTTTTTTTCCACATAGATGTCAACATGTAAATTTCTCATGGAAGAATGCATTCCCTTTTTGGGACACACACACACACACACTTTTCACTTCATTTTTTTTAGGACTTTTTCCTACACCAAACTACACATACGCAAACAATTCACTAGCTTAAATGTTTTCTTCATTCATGTTCATTGTTCAGTAACATGCAATAATATTCTATTGTTTATGTAACCCTTCATTGTTAATACATTATCATCTGTTTGTACACATATATATTAGTCTTTGTTGTATCTTTAAATTTTTTTTTATGCGGACTCATACTCCGAGTCTGCCATTTTGGTTGTGGGCATTTCAGGAGAGGCGTGTTTATCTCTCAACAAGTACACTGGCCTGAAATAGGTGTCTGTTTGGATGTGCAGGTGGTTTAATGGATAATGGCTCAAAATTGTTGATCAAAGAGCCAAGTTCCAACTCTCACTGGGTTCATTATATTCACTTATGTGCAAAAATTCTTGGGAAAGGCATGAACCCCTCTCTTTTCTTCCCAGTTATGTCAGAATTAGTAAGACTGATATCACTAAATCATTATTATCTCAAAAAAAAAATCTTACAATCTAAAAATATTTTGTGATTTTAAGTAAACCAGCAAAGGGTTGATAAGCCATAGAAAACAAATCAATCAAATACTGATTAGCTACACAAGAATGTCTTTTATATTTATTTACATTTTCTGGAATATAAATCTATAGAAACTACTGTGGCCACAAAGTGAGGGATCCGTTTATATATCAATTATAATATAATCATCCATCTATCTACTTTTTTCCATCCATCTATCTATCCCAGTCTGTTCATATCTATCTATCTATCTATCTATCTATCTATCTATCTATCTCAGTCTCTAAGTTTATCCATATGTCTATCTATCTTGATCTCTAGACTATCTATCTATCTATCGCAATCTGTTCATATCTATCTATCTGTCAGTGTACTCCACTTAACTGCCACATGTGATTAGTAGTTAGGATTTTAGTAGTTAGTTGGTCATTGCTATTGGTTCAAAAAATGAAAATTATTTATGACTCAAGCTAAGATTTGATGTGGAAAGGTTTTTTTTTTTTTTAAGCATTTTTTCACCCCAAGTAAGGTGGGTGTGCAACTGGATCGCAGGAGGTTACATAGAGAAAAAATAAACTGTGTATTGGGGGGGGGGTGAGGAAAGGATAAAAGATGAACGAGGTTCAAGACATTAGATGATGGTGATTGATGTTGCATTTAAATTTTTGAAGATTATAGTAATCAGGGAAGCAAGTAAATGGATGGGAGTTCCATAGGCGGGGAAAAGATGCTGTTGGAGTAGAAGTGGCAGTTTCATTTAACTATATCAATGGTAAAAGGGGTGGGACCTAAATGCTAGTCTAGTAACACGCTTAAATTTATGTAGTCAGGTCACCAGAGAGAGAAAAGAAAGAAGCTTGACAGAAGATTTTGTAATGCCCATTTGTAGGAGAGACTTTGTAAATCAGATACAACAATAGTAACGCCTTTGAACAACACTTGGTCAGATGCTGTGCTAATTCCCATATATAGATTTTTTTTCCTTTACCTATCATGTGATCTAATTATTTCAAGATGAGGTCGACTGTGCTTGCTCTCTGGCAATCCGTGTTCAAATCCAAGTGTCAGCAGCAGCACTTTATTCTAATATGACAGAAGAGTTCCCATGAAAATATTTGTAGAAAAAACAGAGGGAAGCCACATCACATCTGTGAGAAAGTGACTGGAGTCAAGATGCCAGACATCTTGAATCTGATGTTCATGAAAGAAAGTTTTTTCCTTTTCAAGCATTTTGCAGTGATTGAAAACAGTAAGAATTGGTTGGTGCAAGGTCAGGTGAATATGACAGGTCAGGTAGAACAGACCAACCAAAATCCAATTTTTTGTGGGGTGGGGTATTCTTGCAGTCTGCATCATGTGTTGTCATAGAGGAGAGAACAACCTTTTTTCTCTAAGCCACTGTGTATGCTGCCACCATTGAGCAAAGCTGAGGTATGTTAGTATAATCCAAAGTTATTTGTAACTGCAACATATGATTAGTAGTTGGGATGATATATTAGTTATTACAATAGAATGGAAATTACTTATGACTTAATATATTACAAAAAGACTGTATGCTATTAAAATGAATAAGCAATTCCTTTTTTTCAAGTTAGTATTTCAAATGTTATCCTACTGCTACTGTGCTATTACAATATATAAGTGTGCATAACAAATAAAATTGCCACAGTTTTATTCAACATATATTGTCAAAACATAGTATATATATATCTATATATAATGGACTCTCCCATTGGTTTCGATGTATGAGGATCTGACAACTTAACCAATTGATTCAGTTATGAATTATGTGCAACAGTCTTAAGTGACACTTAAGCCCCACAAATGATTTGCAAAGAAGGATGCATTTGGAGCAAGAGTGAGGATTGTAGGATGAAGTCACTGTTAGAATGGTTGGCCTTTTAGATCTTGCTCTTGCTACTTAAAGACAATTCAGACTAGCAGATTAAAGACTGCTGAGTCTATTAAAACACATTGATTTCCACTCTACCCGCTCCAAGGGTAAGTGCTTGAGGATGTTATGGGGTATATTGACAGCTGACAAGTTGCTCTTCAGCTTGTCTTTGTATCTAAGCCATGGGCGTCCTACATTCCTGTAGCCCTGATCTAACTGGCTGTACATTAGGATCTTAGGTATCCTGCCATCAGACATTCTCAAGACATGACAAGTCCACTGCAACTGAGACTGTATGAGGAAAGTCTCAATTCCTCCAATATTACGCCTGTTAAATAGGTCTACATTGGATGTCCAGTTTTGAAGGCTAACTCCACAGATGGTATGAAGACAGCTCTTATGGAAGACATCCAGCTGGTGTACATGGTACCTGTATGGAGTCCATGACTCTGAGCCATACAAAAGGATGGCAAGGACAACATCTCTGTAAACCTAAATTTTATATATATATATATATATATATATATATATATATATATATATATATATATATATATATAGGTTTTGAATTTCATTTCTTGTGTGAACTGTAACAGATGCTTTCCAAGTAAAATTGACCAAACATAGTTGCTGGAAGAATTGGCAAATTTCTAATGAAATTTCTATTAGGTCAAGAGGGTGGCTGCTGGAAGATCCTATGTCTGGTAACAGGACTCTGCACCATGCCACACGAACAGGAGAACCCAGTCATGGCTATCAGACGATTTCTGCAACTACATCACCCCTTACATCTGGCCACCTAATTCCCCAGACTGCAACCCCCTTAATTATTATGTGTGGGTCACAGTTGAGTGAGAAACCAAAACAATTCCTTGTAGAACCAAAAATGAACTGAATGCAAGAATTATGGCAGCTTTCACCACCTTAAACAAGACCGTCCAGAAGAGTTGCAGCAGATTCTGAAGTCATATTGAGGCTGCTGTTGAAGCCAATAGTGATTTTATTGATTAAATTTAATTTAGTATTTCATGATATTTTTGTGTTATTTTGGTAAATATATGTTAAAATGAGATGTCAGTGTCATTTTCATTTTTGCGTAATTTAGACAACAATTTATCCATCTAACCCTGTATAAATATAAATGTGTGTATGTATGGGTTTAATATATACATAGATAGATATGAATAGATTTAGATAGGCAAATATAAATAGATTGAGAGAGAGACATATAAACAGACTGGGATATATAGATAGATATATACAGAGATGGATGGATATATAGATAGATGGATAGATAGAGAGAAAGATAGATAAATATAGAGATATGTAGATAGATATAAACAGAGATGGATGGATAGATATAAGCAGGCTGAGATAGATTTTGGAGAGAGAGAACAGAGATAGATAGATAGATAGATAGAAATAGATAAAAAACAGAGATAGATATAATCAGACTGAGATAGATTTGAGATAGATAGATATAAACAGAGATAGGTATAATCAGACCAAAATCGATAGATAGAAGCAGACTGATATAGATAGACGAATATAAACAGATTTAGAGAGAGACATATAAACAGACTGGGATAGATAGATAGATATAAACAGAGATGGATAGATAGATACAAGCAGACTGAGATAGATTTGGGAGAGAGAGAAATATATATAAACAGAGATAGATAGATAGATATAAACAGAGATGGATGGAAAGATAGAAATGATAGATAAAAGATAGAAACTGAGATAGATTTAGATAGATAGATATATATAAACAGAGATAAATAGATAGATATAAAAAGATATGGATAGATGAACAGATAAAACAGAGATGTAATAAACAGAAAGATAGAAACAATGATGGATAGATAGATATAAGCAGATAGATAGATAGATATAAACAGAGATAAATAGAAAGATATAAAAAAACAGAGATGGATAGACAGAAAGACAGATAGAAACAGAGATGGATGGATAGATATAAACAGACTGAGGCAGATTTGGGAGAGAAAGAAATAAACAGAGATAGATAAATAGATAGATAGATAGAAGCAGACTGATATAGATATAGATAGACAAATATAAACAGATTTAGAGAGAGAGACATATAAACAGACTGGGAGAGATAGATAGAGAGAGATAGATATAAACAGAGATGGATAGATAGAAAGATAGAAACAGTGATGGATAGATAGATATAAACAGAGATAGATAGAAGCAGACTGAGATAGATATAGACTTTAAGTATATTATATAAAATCCATTATTAATTATAGAAATGAAAATTTGGTATTATACGTTTCTAATTATAACCTTTTAATGGCAGCTTTCCTATTTTTCAGATGACGGGTCTTAATGGGTTAAGTCCTGACTGTTACAAGATGATTTTCACATCTTTCTCTTTAAGTAGATTTTTTCCAATTATTATTTATTTTGTATTTGACTCTTTTGCTGAATCAGTTTTTTTCACCTCTAGCTTTGTAAATATCTTCAAGCGATCTGCCATTGTTATAACGTATGCCATTTGTCCTCACCAGAGAAAATAGGATACTTCTAACTCAATAAAAAATTGCTGACAAAAATTTATCAGTACGTTGTATGGGTGTTTATGTACGACTGTATGTATGCGTATATAATATATAGATAATTTTTCAAAATCTGAAGAAAAAACATCACTTTTGTATCCTAAACATTAAAAGTCAAATTTGGGATCAATACACCATTTACAATAGTGTCCAGAAAATTCACCTCAGTTTTATTATTCTCACAAATTCATGCTAAATTTTTAACAAGTCTATAAGCTGCTATAGCACAAATAAAACTTAACATCAATCAGCTAAGTGACCAATTTTATTCATATTAATTATATATATATATATATATATATATATTTCATGCATATGTGTTGTTTGTTTTTGATTTTGTTGACTGCACAATATAGTAGGGTCAGTTGGGCACCATCTGTAAGAAAAAGAGCAAATGTCACAATTCACACTGCCACAAATTTGGAATCAGTTTTTTCACCTCTGTCTTAAGATATTTACAACACTAATCTGCTATTGTCATAACACATGCCACTCAGCCTCATCAGTATCATAAGACAGATAACATCACTGGAAAATACAAAAACTTAAGGAATCAGCACATATGCTATGCCACGAAATCTCCTAAGCCAGCCAAGCATAGAAATGAACACAATATGGGAACCAGTAATAGAGAGCTAGAGAAAAACAATAATAACAACAGATTGTAATATGAGCTCTGGTAAAAAATGGTTACTAAGATATTAGGTTTATAAGTCCCAGAATTTCATCTTCTGATGTCCTCAAGGACACAAGGTCCAGTGGCTGAAGTAATCGAGTGATTTGACCCAAAAGACTAGTGACTTGTAAAGATTTGTCTTTACAAGTCACAAGTCTTTTGAGTCAAATCCCCCATCATTTAATAATATAAAACCATTATTGTTGAAATACAATTTATTGTCAATCCTCTTAAAACATATGTTACTGGTATAGTTTGGTATCCCCTAGCAGGTACCTAAATTCATTTACATACAACTAAAAGCCTTTGGTGATAAATAAACTCCCATTCCGGTGGGGTGGGGGTGCATTTCTCCTTAGAGAGATACGTCACATCCTCTCCTTGTTACCAACCCAGGCTCCTTATCTAAACAAGGCATCTCTTTGAGTAGTCCTGTACCTTCTCCACAACTGCACTATAAATTAAATCCCCGCCTCCCAATTACAAGACAGTCAGTCAAGGGCTGAAGAAGTCTTGCATAAGGTTGTGTCAGTTTGAAATAGGCTAAAACCACATGAGTTAATTTTCGATTTTTGCTGTATAATATCTATCTATCTATCTATCTATCTATCTATCTCAGTCTCTTCCTTTATCTATCTATCTATCTATCTATCTATCTATCTATCTATCTCAGTCTCTTCCTTTATCTATCTATCTATCTATCTATCTATCTATCTATCTCTCAGTCTCTTCCTTTATCTATCTATCTCAGTCTCTTCCTTTATCTATCTATCTATCTATCTATCTATCTATCTATCTATCTATCTATCTATCTATCTATCTCAGTCTCTTCCTTTATTTATCTATCTATCTATCTCAGTCTCTTCCTTTATCTATCTATCTATCTATCTATCTATCTATCTATCTATCTCAGTCTCTTCCTTTATCTATCTATCTATCTATCTATCTATCTATCTATCTCAGTCTCTTCCTTTATCTATCTATCTATCTATCTATCTATCTATCTATCTCAGTCTCTTCCTTTATCTATCTATCTCAGTCTCTTCCTTTATCTATCTATCTATCTATCTATCTCAGTCTCTTCCTTTATCTATCTATCTATCTATCTATCTATATATATATATATATATATATATATATATATATATATACTGTGATCAATCATGAACCAGGTTGGCACCACTCGGTATTGACCACAATGTCAACCCTTATATAGATATATACTTTTCTATCTATTTATCTATCTGATAGGAACAGACTGAGATAGATAGATATAAACAGACCGAGGTAGATAGATAGATAGATAATGAACAGAGAGAATTAGATAGAAAGATATGAAAAGACTGAGATAGATAAAAACAGATTGAGATAGATAGATATGAACAAACTGAGATAAATACATATGAACAAACTATAGAGAGAAAGATATGAACATACTGAGATAGATAGAAAGATATGAACATACTGAGATAGGTAAATAGATACATATGAACAGATTGAAATAGAAAGATATGAACAGACTGAGATGGATACAAAGATTTGGACAGACTGAAATAAATAGATAGAAATATATGAACAGATGGAAATGGATAGATAGAAATATATGAACAGATGGAAATGGATAGATAGAAATATATGAACAGATGGAAATGGATAGATAGAAATATATGAACAGACGGAAATGGATAGATAGAAATATATGAACAGACGGAAATGGATAGATAAAAATATATGAACAGACGGAAATGGATAGATAGAAATATATGAACAGACGGAAATGGATAGATAGAAAGATATGAACAGACGGAAATGGATAGATAGAAAGATATGAACAGATGGAAATGGATAGATAGAAAGATATGAACAGATGGAAATGGATAGATAGAAATGTATGAACAGATGGAAATGGATAGATAGAAAGATATGAACAGATATTGTTTGTGTTAATTTATTTTACTTGTTTTTTATATTATTTTGTTTATTTGTATTTATTCATTTCAGTTTTCGATTTTTAAGTAACGTAGTAAAAATTTGTTTTCATGTCTGCATTATGAGATGAGTTCAGATCATTTATTTAGATTTTTTTTCTAAATTTCTAAGGTTACTAGGTAGTTAAAAAACATGATATAAAAATGTCACTCAGGTTATATTCATCAAGTTATTTTTACAGATATATATATATATATAATATGTGAATTTTACCACTCTAGCCTTAGAAATAGTGGTTATAAACGTACTTTTATTAAGTACAGAGATCCCATTATTTATTACCATAATAAGAAGGGAAGATCTAAGAAGATCATCTGGTTTACTCTCCCTTTCAACCTAATGGTTAAAACTAAATTAGGGCAAAAATTCCTTAATCTTATTAATAAGCATTTTCCCAACACTAAACCACTTAATAAAATATTTAATAAAAATACTCTTCAATTAATCTATTGTTGTGTGGATAGCCTTGAGAAAAGCATTAAAAAAACACAATAATAAAGTCTTCATCAAATATAAAAATTCTAAAAGCAAGACTTATAGCAATGGGGCAGTAAATGATAATAATTATAATAATACTAATACCAGCAGATGTAATTGTAAGAATTCAAATGATTGCCCACAACAAAATAATTGCTTAGCTCATACCCTTATTTATTTTAGTACTATTTCTACACTTGAAAACCTGAGTATTAAAATATTTTACATTGGAAGAACTAAAAACTCATCTAAAAGCAGATGGTATCAACATGTACTATCCTTTAACAATAGTATTTATAAAAATAGTACTTCGTAGTCAAAGCACTTTTGGAATTTAAAAGTGAGGAACAAAACTCAGTTAAAAGGAAACCACTTAGGAGGGCTCAAACCTGTAATTCTCTATATGCAACATGTTATCTTTGTCTCAATGGAAAATTGGAAATTATTCAATTTAATGACAGGATTAATCTCTTAAACCAAAGGAATGAACTTACTGTTAACTGTAGACATAGTTCACTCTTTACCTTCAATATAAGTAAATAATATTATGAATGAGAATATAATGGTATTGTAAGTTAGTAATATTATTATTATTTATTGGTTCTTTATTTTATTTATTTATATCTATTTTTTTATTGCAACCTGACCACCGATGTTAATCATAACTTACCTTTGTTTACTAGCATTTTAATCTGATATAGATAGTTAATTTCATATTGAATATTTGTGATGATTTCTGCATTAATTTTCCATGGACTCAGAATTCATTATTGATATCTACACATATATGTGTGTATGTATGTGTGGTTGTTTCTATATGTGTTTATATATATGTACATATATTTGTGTGTCTGTGTCTTGGTATGTATATGTGTATATGTATGCATGTATGTATGTGGGTGTATATATATATATATATATATATATATATATATATATATATATATTACGTGTGTGTGTGTGTGTGTGTGTGTGTGTAAAAATAATCATTGTTTATACAATAAAAGCAGACATAATTAAGAAGGACAAGAAGAAAACTTAAACTACAGTCGTTAGAAAAAATCTTTTTTTTATTGTTTCACGATGACATTGCCATGATGCCGCAGGGTGTTACAGGGGGTGAAAGTGCATGAGAAGACTTCAGTGAGACAAATGAGAATAAAGGGAAAAGGATTTAAGTTGACTGAAAATGATGATTGACATTTCATTTAAATTTTTGATGATTGTAGTTGACAGGGAAGCAAGAAATCAGAAAAGATTTCCACAGGCAGGAAGTGCAAGAGAAAAGAAACTATGAGAATAGAACTGATGGTTGCATCTAGTGAGTGCAACAATAAAATGATGTGACCCAGTTGCTAATTTAGTAGTACTCTTATATTCATACAGCCAAAGCACCAAGGAGAACAGTTCATCAGAATAAATGCATGAAAAAATATTTGTAGAAATGATAAACGGAAACCATGTCTTGTCAATAAGAAAGTGACTGAAGTTGAGATGCCAGGTTAGGATTGATTATATCACAGACCCTTCTTTGAATTTTGTCAAGTATCTTGAGATATATAGCAGAGGCACCTGATCAGATATGGCAGCAATATCCAATGTATGGCAAACGGTAGATTTATAAATGTGCAATATGGATTCTAGTGAGAAACATCATCTAGCACACTACAACAAATATTCTTATCAGTAGCCATAACAATTGATTCAATATAATCACTCCAATTCATATAAGTGGAAAGCATGCCCAATAAGGTTGGAGGTTAGCATCAGCCATATTAATGACAGACAGAAAAGTCCCTCTGTGGTTATTAAATGAAAGTAGTTTTGTTTTAGAAGCATTAAAATTTAAAAGTTATTCTTTGCCCCAGTTAACCACAGATTTGGGGGTCCTTTTCATGAGCAGTTGCCAATTCTACTTTGTTGGATCAGTCAGACTTGCTACTAAGAGAGGAGTAAACGGTTGTGTTATCTGCATAGATACCTAATTGATAAGTGATGACATCAGGATGGTCATTGATAAAGATCAGAAACGGCACAGGTCCAAGGATAGGGCCTTGTGGGACCCCTGTGTTAATATGGTACGAACAAGAAACATGTCCATTCAACATGACCTGCATGAAAAAAAAAATTAAAATTATAAAATGAGCTAACCTGTTATTGCTCCTACACTTGTCAGAACTCGATCTCAGGGAAATTCAAATATTTTGCACACTGACTAAAAAAATGGAAACATGAGTAGCAATATGCACAGCCTTTATTGACACAAAGATATCTATAAACTGATTGCACTAAGTACTAACAACCATTCCTTTCAAATTCTAAGTTGTTCTTCTCTGAAACTGGTAGCTAATCACAGCTTAGTCTTCCCTGATATTTAACCCATAGTGTGGGGCAATGTAAAATCTTGAATACAGACTTTTTTATCTGTGGGAATCATTAAAGTGAAACCACAATATGAATATTTGTTGAAGTTTTTGCAAATATGCGAAGAAACTAAAAAAATTGACAAGATCAAAATTGAAGGCAGTTGACCTTTTGGATAAATGTTAGGTGGAAGCTTTAACAACTATTTCTTCTTCTTCTCTATGTACTGTGTCCCTTCACGATGTGGCTCTCCACGACTTCCTATTCTTCGTATGTTTTATTCTTTCACTATCTCTTTCATTCCCTGTTCTGGAATCCATTTACATAAATTCATTAGGTAGATTACTCACTGTTTCCCTTTGCTTCTCTTGCATACACAATGTTCTGTGAGTGTCAAAATCTCCATGCCTCCTTTTCTCATGTGTCCTTGAAATTTCAAATATCCCTTTCTGATTCTAAGCATAAGTGTCCTTTTCATTTTCATTATCCTTACTTTTTTGTTATTAACTTTTTCAGTCT